ATTTGGGGAGCCAATGGGGGATGGAGGGGGCGGAGTCGGGGGGGGGGCAAGAGCCCTTCCGGGAGGGCAAAATTGCTTGTTTGTCCAGTGTCCCTACTGCACATTGGTCGGGACGTGGTACAAACAAGCAAATATTGGGACAGTCCCGATAAAATCGGGACATCTGGTCACCCTAATGGAAGCACAAAGTATTATTAGGGAAGTTCCCCATTTAGAGTCTGGTGTTCAACCTTAACTGCATTCCTTTAGGTGGAGGGTGTGTTGGCCTCAGGCCTGGTCTACACTGGGGCGGAATTGATCTAAGTTACGTGAATAACGTAGCTGAAGTTGACGTACTTAGATCTACTTACCACGGTGTCTTCACTGCAGTGAGTCGACAGCTGACGCTCTCCCGTCGACGCCGCCTGCACCTCTCGCCCTGATGGCGTACCAGAGTCGATGGGAGAGTGCTGGGTGGTTGATTTATCATGTCTAGACTAGACACGATAAATCGACCCCCGCTGGATCAATCACTGCCCGTCGATCCAGCCGGTAATGTAGACAAGCCCTTAGTGTAGTTCCCTGAAGCACTACCACCTAGCTCCTTGTGACAGTGGTGTACCAATCACCTATGGTTAGGCCCAGGGATATAGCTACCATGGTGCAAGTGGTGCAGTCACTCCAAGGCCTATGAGGTGATGAAGACCCAACTAGCAGAGGCTGATCTACCACTGTAGTTGTGCCATAGTCTATCAATAGGTAGATGGGGCTCTGAGGAGCAGGAAGTGGCCCTCTGCTAGGCTGTCAGGGAAGCACTCCTGCCCCTAGCATGGGTGAGATTGTGCCCACGACTCCTCAGGTGCTGAGCAGCTTGGGGCTAGGGCTTCATGCCCGTGCCCAACCCAAACCTGCTGCCCCGTACCACACCTCTGTGGGCCCTGCTACCTGGGCAGCCCCTGGACCCTGTCCTGGACGCTGCCACCACCACCCTAGACTTGCATTGCAGCTGTTGCTTCAAATGGGGTGGATGATGAAGAAGCATGAAGAGGGTTGTGGGGAGTGGATGGGGTGCAGGTGCCCAGCCCCAGAGGGCCAAGGAGGAGGCCAGGGTAGGGTTATGGGATGAGAAGCACGTGCCCAGTCCCAGGGGGTGGAGAAGGAGAAGGCCGAGGCCAGGGAATGGTTACAGCCAAGGGGTGGATAGGGAGAAGATCTCCCACCACAGGGGCTGGAGGAGGAGGCCGAAGGAGGATTGCAGGATGGGATGAGGAGTGACCCTTGATCAGAATTAATCTGGTAGAATATTAACTTGGCTAGATTCACTGGTGCACTGTAGCTCCTTTGCAACCTTTTGACAATAGGAAACCATTGTCTACCCTGGTCTGATCAACCAACTAAACTGGATTTATGGAGGGGCCCAAAAGTAGCTGGAGCATAACCGTGATCCCATAGAGGGTAGGATCAAACCCTATCCAAATAGCATCTGAATCTTAGCGGTATTTAGAAGATGTGACAAATATTGAGGAGGTCAGGTAACATATCTATAAAATGGAAGCAGATATATCACAAGTGCTTGTTTTAGATAGTATTATAAAATGGACTAGGTATTGTGATCTTTGAAAAGTGATGAGGATGTGGTGGTTTTAATTGTTTGTTTGTTTTAACTGCATGGCAATATGGATCCTTGCGTTTGGTTTCTGTGACACAAAGACCACATTTTCAAGAGTGGTCTGTTTGCAACTGGTGCCCAGCCACACGATTGGTGAATGCAAAGCAAATGCTGCTTGTGCTCAAATTGCAACTTTTTCCCGTTGGCAACATTGTGAGTACAAATATAAAGATTTGATTTGATTCCCCATTGCACTACTCCCCTTTTACAGCAGCGTAACTCCATTCATGTAGTTCCAGTAGAGTTGCACCAGTTTGAAACTGGAGTAACACAATGATGACTCAAGCCCTTGGGATTTTTGACCAACTACCTTTGGATGTGCCTTGCTATGTAGTTTAAAGTTTGGAATATAAAAGCTGAGTTATTTGTATTTGTTTGTGTTTCTAGAAACATACACACTCTTTTAAAAATGTCAAAACAACTGAGTAGAGCTATTAAGTGTGAGAAACAAAGTGAGACTAGTGAGCAAACTGCAAACTTTCCAAAAATTGATGGCTTGCTTAGCACTGTCACTGCATCAGCTGTGCTAATGACATCCTCAGCCACCAGTGACAAAATTGCAGAAAACGTTGGCGGTGATTGTGTTGAAAAGGTTTTTAATCCTGATAGTCCCAAGATATTCAAACCTGATAGTACCCAAAGAACAGACTCTGTTCAGAATGAAAATATCACTACTCTGCAGCAACTGATGATATCTTAATGACTAATTCTAGTGACGTTCAAACTGAGTTATTTAGAGAAAATCCCACTGACAAGTCAAAATGTAGTGCGGAAACTTTAAGTTTGGAACAGAAAACACGGCCCTGGTCAACCTAAAGGATAATTCCCATGTGACTCTAAGACAAATGGATACTTTTCTGCATCTTCTTATGAAACCGTGTTGAAGACCAGAATCAAGCTTAAAATAACCTGGTTATGCTGTTCTCTTGTGCTTGGCAAAAGTTACTGACAACCCTTTTGACTTTTTTGGGAATTGGGGGGGAAATTTTTTGCACGGATAAGTGGAATGAGAGAGTGGCAGAATTTATCTCAAAATATAGTGAAACATTTGATTATTGTTTTGAAGGTTGCTTAATATATGATCAGTGGTGCTTGCATACTACTATCAACAAAGATCTCTAATAAAAAATAAGGAAAGAGGCAAATTACTGGAGGCAGGTCCTCAATCGTCATCAAGAAGCCAAAAGACTCAGTGACATACCTCAGTCCAGAAATTGAAAACAAGATCATGCAGTTGCAATCAGGCCTGGTAACAGAAAGTATTGTTAATGACATCAATAATGCTCCATTTTACTCAGTGGTAATGGACACGACCCAGGACATGTCCAAAGTTGACCAACTAAGCCAAATTTTTCAGTATGTTACCATAGAAAAAGATTAAAAAGGCAGTACTGCCAAAATAAATTTTAATGAGAATTTTCTAGGATTTCATGAAGTGGTCAATCAGCTGCTAATCTTGAAAGCTACATCATCAGGTGTGTCAAAGACAAAGGTCTAGAACTATTGAAAGTACAAGAACAGGGATACTATGGTGCTGTGAATGTTCTGGTGTACAAGCAAGATTGCTGAGAAAGAACTGAAAGAAAGATATGTGGGTTGTGCTGCATTCAGTCTGAATCTAGCATTTAACGATCAAGCACAGACAAATGCACCCCAGGAAAGGGGAGGGGAATTCTGATATGCCCCTCTGCAAACACTTAAAGGACATTTCAGAACAATTCACTGTGAAAGCCTTTCTCAGCTCCCCTCCTACCCGCCCCGCCCCGCTGACAGGTTTCACAAGGAGGGACTCAACCCATGTGAAGCGGAGGGAGAGGATCAAGAATCCTCAGAAGGGCGTAAAGACAAAAACCCTCCCTATAGGAGGTCATATAATTAAGGGGAAGACTGAGGCAGAGACTGTTTAGAAGCAGACTGACATTCCGATCCTGAAGTCAAGGGTCTGGGGTATGATAGGCCTACCCAACTCTTAGGTAAGATAGGTAAGTGTATATTTGATGTTTTAAAACCCCCTTTTCTCGTATGTAATGTTTGTTCCCACTGTTAAGATTAAACAGTACTTTGGTTTAAGAAGGCTGTTTATTGGTCACTGTATTTACTACTCGTCTCAGCTCCCAAAGGGAAGAGTCACGGGTGGGACCTGCTGAGCAATCCTGGTTAGTTCACAGGGTACTGTAGCCCAGCCTCTGACTGAGAGCGGAAGAATTGTGAGATTCTGCCCCAGAATGGAGAAGGCTCGAGGTCTAAAACCTGGAGCTGTTCACTCAGAAGAGAGGTCAAAGTTGCGCTCTGGCCCTGAACCATGACAGTTGGCTTTGGCTAAAAGTGCATGTACAGGGTGCTGGATATTCCCCATTTACCTCAAAACCTAACAGTCTGTCATTTGCTACCACAGTAAAATTCTTCCAGCTCCATCCTTGCTGGATTTCTTCTACATTTTGTTATTCTTCTGGTCATTAGAAGCAAATTTTCTTGTATTTTGGGAAGATAAATGACTGATGTTTCCCATGACAGATGGAGATTTTGCTTTTTTGAAGCTTATTTTATTTACTCCTCACAGTTTATGATTCATCAGGGCTTTGTCATCCATTCATGACACACACACATCACGATATTACTTCTGTTTTTGTCAGAGTACTATGGTAAACTCTCACCCAGAGTTTAAGCATTTAGTTGCCTTTGTCATATGAATCATAAAATGTTCCAAGTAACCTGTAGTCAGATAATAACCGATCTCTAATAACATGTTACTCCTCTCTGATTCACAGCACAACAAATGACACTTCTGTCCTTTGTCCTACATACCCCTCTTGCTAGGACTAGACAATCAAAATCTAAAGACATGTTGGTGGCTTTCTAATGTGGTAAAACACAGTATGTGACAATGTTTTATGTGTTAGAGATGAACCAACTCAAATCCATGCATCAGAGCCCAATAGTACTTTGTGGAGTTTGAAATCAGGATCTGAATTTCGCAGTCTGAATCTTTCTCTAGTTTTCCTTTAATGCAAAGAGGCTATTCAACCTTTTTGTTTCAAGCAATAGAGCAGTGGTTGCCCAGTCACTGTTTCTTCCATGATACAGAGGCTTATTTTCGGCCATATTCTGGTACTGTTACCTTATTACTCAAACAGTCCTGTCAAAATGTATGAGTAAGGTACCACTCAATGTAAGTATTCTGGCTCTTTGTTTTCACATCTTGTTTTATAATTATTTTTTTTAATGACAAGGGGCAAAATTTCCAGTCTGCATGTGAGAAATTAGATGCTCAGTAGTGGTTAACATTGAAGTGGGAACTGGATGGCTGAATTCCCACTCACTCTGCCAAAACTGTTCTTTTCACTTTTCACAGGTCATGTAAACTGAAGGTCTGAACTAGCTTGGGGTTCAAATAGAAGGAAGCAAATCCAGATCTGCTGTCAGTTCAGAGTGGGTCTGGTTTCCAGAGAAACACAACGCGCACACATGCATGCAGATGGACATTTCTTAAGGGACAAATCCAACATCCTTTCATACACTTTGACAGAAAAAAATTCTGCAACTGAATCCAGTCTGCCGCCTTCTCTTCCTGTCTGGGTTACCTGGCAAACTGATAGCTAAAAGCAGGTACCTGTGGTAGTATCCTTATTCTGAGATGGTGATAATAGAGCTGTGTGAATACCTGATATTTTGGCTTGCTGGCAATTGTAAACAATTTAAAATAAACATTGTTTGGGGTCAATCCAAAACGGTTTTGGGTTTTTTTAGAATTTTTGTCAAGTTGAAAAATCAGAAAAAAAGTAGTTTCTAGTCAAACAAAATGTTTCGTTTAACCCCAAAGGAAAGGTTTTATTTCAATGTTGGGCATTTTTTTCACCATTGTTTAAATAAAAATGTAGGAAATTTGAAAAATAAATGGTTAGCTTCATAAAACGTAGGAGCAGCAGCTACCGTTCCTGTTATAGCCACTAGCTCAGTGGGAAGGGCACTTGCCGAGGACATGGGAGACCAGGTTCCACGCCCTGCTCTAGAGCAATGTCTTGAGCCCAGGCCCCACAACCTAGGTGAGTACCCTAACCACCAGGCTGTGGGGTATTCTGGGGTGGCGGGCTCTCAATCTCTCTTATAAGTTCACAATGACTTTCTGAGTCCCTTTTCCTTTCTAGCCAATGTCAACATGTGCATGGGGGTGTCGGAGCACTAGTGATGCAGTACCTTGCGTCTGTCTCCCTCGGATTTAGTTCTTGACAACATGGCCAGAGTTTGCTTGCTCTCTTCTCAGGAAAATATTCACAGTCAGTCGGGCCCAGACCATATAAGGTATGTACATAAAATGTGTGCTTATTCTTCTCTGCAGGGAATGCTATTTAATTAAATGTCTGGTTAAGATTCAGCAAGCAGTCAGCTTGTTGACTGTGCATATGCTGTACAGTGACAGATCTTAATGCTGCAGGGCTTTTTCTCAGGTTATTTCATACCAACCTTTCCCTATTAGCCTGCTCCTGCAAAGTGCTGAATACCTTTTGCAAGCTAAGTTAAGTCAATGGGGGCTGTGGGTACTCACCACCTTCTAGCGTAGGGCCATAATCCCCATAGTCACTGTGAGTCAGATACAATAAACTGAGAATAAAAATATTGTGCAACAAGAGCAAACATCCCTAATAGGCAACTCCCTGTCTGCAGAGACTCCCCAAAGTATTTGGAAACAAACTGAGTACAATCATGTTCCAACGTCAGTAGCAACCTCACTTCTATCAAGGCAACTGATTTTCATCAGTCCTTTCAGACAAGGTGAAATCAAGTTGATCTTCCCTGTATAAATCTTGGAGCCCTTAATGAACCACTTTGTGGTTCTCTGGTGAATATTCTTCACTGATTCTGCATGTAGTTTGCTCATTGACATCTATGGCAATTTACCACTGAGGCTAAAATGGGTTATTGAGATCTGCTGAGTATGGATTAAAGAGGAGAATTTTTCTGTTTGAGATTGATTTGTGTATATTAAGTTTGATGAGAGAATAATTGAACCGAGGGATTCTTAGCATCATCTGTTGAATTTAAGGGACTAATCCTGCTCTTATTTTATTCAGTGGCAAAAATCCCATTGATTTCAATGGGAGCAGGATTGCCTGGTCCCTAACTGTGGTCTGTAAGAACGTTTTCTTGGATGGTTGTTGACATTGACCCTAGCATACAATGTAAAATTGGGTAAATAGGCTGCTGCTTCCCATTAACAAAAATAATGGTTGTTGCCCTCCAAGCAATGCTAATTGCAGCAGTGTCTTCCCATCATGCAATTCTTATAAAGGTGAAAGGATAGTAACAGGTTTCAGAGTGGTAGCCGTGTTAGTCTGTATCAGCAAAAAGAACGAGGAGTACTTGTGGCACCTTAGAGACTAACAAAATTATTTCGGCATAAGCTTTCGTGGGCTAAAACCCACTTCATCAGTTGCATGGAGTGGAAAATACAGTAGGAAGATATATATATACACACACACTATATAGATCTATATATAGATATACAGAGAACATGAAAAGATGGGTGTGTGTGTGTGTGTATATATATATCTTCCTTCTGTATTTTCCACTCCATGCAACTGATGAAGTGGGTTTTAGTCCACGAAAGCTTATGCCGAAATAAATTTGTTAGTCTCTAAGGTGCCACAAGTACTCCTCGTTCTTTTTGAGGATAGTAACAGATATCCTTTCACCCACATCACAGCGGGTGGTTGAACTACTTAGTGATATTAACCTTGCAACTCCAGACATGTATTATAAATAAGACTGTGAGTCTGTCATGGAGGTCACAGAAGTCCATGACTTCTGCAGCGGCTGGTGCAACTTGGGTGGCCCGCGGGCCAGCCACACCGGCCGCTGCTGGGGCAGTCTTGGGCCACCATGATCCCCTCCCCCGAGCAGCAGTGGTGGTCTTGGGCTGCTGCGCCCTTCTCCCCTGAGCACCAGCAATGCCCCTGGACCGCCTCCCACTCCAGAGCACCAGCAGTGCCCCTGGAGCCCCCCCTTCAGAGCACCCATGTTGCCCCCCAGAGCCTCCACAGCACCAAAGATTTAGTCAGGGGTATATAGTACAAGTCATGAGACCGTGAATTTTTGTTTACTACCCTTGACCTCTCCATGACTTTTATTAAAAATACCCATGACTAAATCTTAGTCTTAATTATAACAACCCCATTACTAATAGCAATTGATTTGATTTTTCTCTTTGTTCCTCTAAGTTTGCTAGCAGACTTTCCTTTATTTGGAAAGGCTACAGATTAAAACTTGCACATTGGGGAAGGTTTTTTTGGCATCCAGCAATGTGTTAATTTTGCTATCGAAATAGCAGGGTATGTATGAGAGTTTAGAGCCCTATTATTTCAAGTTTATATACCTTCATACATGCTCTTTATGTTTGGAATGCTGTAGTATATTGAAAACAAAATGTGCATAATAATTCAAAATGCTTGGTTGGTAGTGTTCACAAAACGTCAAAGCCACATTACAGATCCATCTCAAACTGCAGGAAACATGTTTTCAAAGGGTAAGGCTTGGAGGTATGTGCAAGTTCTTTCTTAAGCTGCAGTTCAAAAAACTAAGTTGTTTTCCAATTCCTTTGCTGTGACAGGTCAATTGTGCTGTATTCCTGTACTTCAGTAACATAAAACAAAGCAATGTGACTCAGGGAACAAGATGTAATGCATCACCACTGTGATGTGCCAGCATGGGTATATAGAGACAATGGCAAGTCCAGACAAGTGCTGTTAAAGCTCCTACAGTTAAAACAGCCCAAATGTTATGTGTATCAAACAAGGTTTTTTTAAACAATCACAGAGCCATAGAAAATAGAAGCCATACAAAATTATTAAGCTGTCTAGTGCAGCCCACTGAAATTGGGTTTGTTCAGTCCATGATCTTCTATGAGGCCTATCCATTGCATTCTGAAAAAAACTATTTGCCATCCTGATTGGTAATATGGCCCATCTGTGCTTTTTTTTGTTTTGTTTTTGTTTTTTTAGGGTGGGCATTTCATACCAAAATAGAGAGCTTCTAATGTTATGCTATCTCTGTTTTCTTTAAGGGGAATGTGTTGATGACTAATACAAAATGCAAATAATTACTCCTGGGGGAATTCTGTGTCAAAAAATTAAAAATTCTGTGCACAATATTTTAAAATTCTGAAAAATTCTGCATCTTTTATTTGTCAAAATATAATATTTATTTGTCACAATATAATCATGCCAGTTTCAATTATTTTGGTAATTTATTTAAAAATACCCTGTCAGCAAGTATATCTGTAACAATACAGAAAATAAAAAAGATTCAGGAAATATTCTATGACAAATATTTTCCTTACTAGGCATATAATGCAGAACTTTGAGTAATAATTCATTTAAATTACAATACAGAAATGTATTTCCTGCATCCTTCAGAAGCAGCGAAAAGACTTGGGGGAGCTCAGGGGTAATGGAGGAGCTGAGGGAGAGGGAAGTAATTGCTGGGCAGGAGCCGGGGAGAGAACCTGGAGGGTTGTTGGGTGTGGATGGGAGAAGTATGGAATAGTAATTTTTTGGGGGAAGAGGTATTGTTAGGGAGTTGGGGAACCTCCTCCATGCAGACCCTGGTTGACCCCTAGCCTTTGTCCCATTGTGTCCTTACACTCCCCTACCCCAGTCTCCATGTGTCCCTGTACCCCCACTCAGCCATTCTTCTTCCCCATGCCCATGTATCCCTGCACCCTCACTCAGCCACCCCTCCTCCCAGGGCCAGCTCCAGGGTTTTTGCCACCCCAAGCAGCAAAAAAAAAAAAAAAAAAAAAAGCTACAATTGTGATCAGCTCTACCACCGCCGCTTCAGCCTTTGGCGGCAATTTGGCAGCTGGTCCTTTGCTCCGAGAGGGAGGGAGGAACCCGCCGCCGAAGAGCTGGGCATGTCACCCCTCTCCGTTGGTCGCCCCAAGCACCTGCTTGCTGGGCTGGTGCCTGGAGCCAGCCCTGCCTCCTCCCCATCTGCACTCAGCCACCCCATCCCCGTCCCCATGTGTCCCTACATCCTCAGTCAACCATCCCCCCATCCCCACATGTCTCTGCTCCACCACTCCCATTTAGCCCCCACCCAAGTCTATCCCACCCACTAGCCCTTCTGAACCCCAGTCTGTGACCCCCCCCCCCCAGCAGCCCCATGTCCCTTGTTCTGTCTGTCCCCCACATATCCTGTGCCTCCTCACCTGGCCCCACAGGCAGAATGCTGTGAGGAATGCAGCCTCTTCCCATCCCTTTCTGGGGCTGGTTGAGCTGGCTGCTCTCTGTTCTGGTGCCACAGCAGCCCCTGGTGGGTGAAAAGTGTAACTGCAGCACCTCTTGGGCCGAATGTATTTTCTGCAGAGAAAAAAAATCTGCGGGGACATGAATTCTGTGCCTGCGTAGTGGCACATAATTTGCGCAGGAGTAGAATAATACAGGATGTACATACAAATTTAAAACAATAATGGCCACTTGTCAGGCTATCTGATAAGAAACAGTTTCAGTGGATTGGATATTATACTTGCAAATGCAGTAAGATTTACAGTCTATTAGCAATTTAGTGCATGGTACAATAGGAAGCCATAAAAGAGTTACTTACAAATGAATTGGAGAGCTGAAGGACAAACTCCTTGGGACTTTAAGTACAGGAGATGAGAGACAAATGCTGATGAAGAGGGGTCACATTATCTGTCAAATTGCCACAGTCCTCTTCCTATCAATACCCTGAGCTCAGCTTCAGAACAGCCTCTGGCCCTCTCCCACATTCTTTGTTCAAATAGCAGCTGTACTATGTTAGCTCCACCTGTGGTTTGTAGAATTATGGGCCCCAAACTTAAGTCCTTACTCACTTTGTTCTCAGTCAAACTCCCATTGACTTCCAGAGGAGTTTTGATTGAGAAAAGACCTCAGGGTTTGATCCTAAGGGTGAAATCCTGGCCCTACTGAAGTCTATAGGAGTTTTGCCATTGACTTCAGTGGGGCACAGGTTTCCACCCCACATATTTCGGACCCAGATCAATTACTTGGATTTTCAGCCCTACATTACTTGGGGGGGATGGTCAGAACTTTGCTGGTGAACACAGGTTTCTCACTCCAGTTTTCTGTGTGCTTCTCTCCATACGTACATGAAATTAACCATTTGGTGAACTGCCTTTATCTAAACTCAGCACAGTGGTTCACATGATATGACAGATTGTGGCTGGCTCTTGAACAGAGTTTGTATGCAAGAATCTTCCCTGCCTAGGTGTGCCTTGCTCAAGGACCAGGAAAAATTCCAGGCTCTCTTCAAAGAGGAGCTTA